GTGTGTGCATGGGCATGTGTGTGTGGTGGGCACGTGTGTGTGCATGGGTACGTGTGGGTGGTGGGCACGTGTGTGTGCATGGGCACGTGTGGGTGATGGGCATGTGTGTGTGCATGGGCATGTGTGTGTGCATGGGCATGTGTGTGTGTGTATGTGGGCATGTATGTGTGGTGGGCACGTGTGTGTGCATGGGCATGTGTGTGTGTGTGTGGGCATGTATGTGTGGTGGGCACGTGTGTATGCATGGGCATGTGTGTGTGTGTGTGGGCATGTATGTGTGGTGGGCACATGTGTGTGCATGGGCACGTGTGTGTGCATGGGCATGTGTGTGTGGTGGGCATGTGTGTGTGCATGGGCATGTGTGTGTGCATGGGCATGTGTGTGTGTGTGTATGTGGGCATGTATGTGTGGTGGGCACGTGTGTGTGCATGGGCATGTGTGTGTGTGTGTGTGTGGGCATGTATGTGTGGTGGGCACATGTGTGTGCATGGGCATATGTGTGTGGTGGGCATGTGTGTGTGGGCATGTGTGTGTGGTGGGCATGTGTGTGTGCCCACGCACATGCACATGCAAGCACAGTGCTAGGAATCAAACCCAGAGCCTTATACATGTGAAGCAAGCATTCCACCACTGAAACCACCCCTCACCCATATATATATATATACACATATCAAGGGAGATAAAATACTTTTTTCCATGTTCTTTGCCCTATACTGACCAAAAAAAACACATTAATGGGCATCTTTTTCTTGTTAACCAATACATCATTTTAATTGGCTCAAGAGTAAAGTATAGGGAGAGCAGTAGAGACATCTTGGAAGCATTTTCATTTCAGTAAGAAGGACTTTAGAAGATGTACAGGCCCCCAAAATGGTCCTACCTGTAAACATGGTAAGCTGTTCTGAGCTGACCCGAAAAATTCCAAAAAAAATGCAGGCAACACTACAAATGATCAATGATTCTCCTCTAATTATGTCAATATACATTTTAGAAAGGCCTGGAAAGGGAAATAAAGAGTATAAACTACTGAGGTACGTAAAAATGATGCCCTTATTCAGGGAACAAAGAGAAGGAATAGGAGAGAGGGAAATTGACAGAACAGAAGGAGGGGGGCTGGGGTTGTGGCTCAGTGGTAGCACACTCGTGTGGCACGTGGGTTCGATCCTCAGCACCACGAAAAAAATAAAGGTATTGTGTCCACCTACAACTAAAAAAAAAAAAAATTAAATTAAAAAGAAAGAACAGAAGGAGGAAACAGCCATGAGTGGGATGGATCTCTAAGACAATCACAGTCGTCATTTTTAATTTTTCCTTTGTGCCTTCTGAATTTCCAGGGACAGAGGAACATGACAACAGCACTCCTTGTGTTGGCCAATGCCTCAGCCATGCTCGAGCTTCAAGATGAGACAAATCTTAGGACTCTCCATTTAACCTGAATACACATGAATCAGACCCCAAAAGAATATCATTGCTGAGTACAAAGTAAGATCCAGCAGTTCTCCTCCTGGGTAGATACGCAAGAAAATCTAAAGACGCAAGTCCACAGGAAGGCTCGTACGTGGACATTTGTAACAGCTTACTCATCATCACCAGAAAATAGGAACAAGCCTGCGTTCATTGGCTAATGAGTAGATAAACACTTTTCTCCACAGAAAGATATGAAGGACCTTCCAACTTGAGTTATAACACGGAGGACCCTGAAGCATTGTGCTCAGTGAAAGAAGCCAGACACAGAGCCTCTTACAGTAGTCCCCCGCCATCCGAGGCTGAGCTTTCCATAGTTTTATTCACCCGAGGGCAACTATGATCCAAAAATATTAAGTGGAAAAATTCCAGAAATTCCTGTTTTAAATAACTTATTTCAATATATTGTTACAATTTTTCTAGTCATTAATAGTTATTGTTAATCTTTTTGTGCCTAATTCATAAATTAAACTTTTATGATAGACATTTTTGTATAGGGCAAAGCATCGTATTTATAGGCCTCAGTACTATGCATGGTTTCAGGTACCTACTAAGGGTTTTGGAATGTATCCCTGATGGATGGGGGAGGACAACTATATTGTATGGTTTGATTTATATAATTGTCCAGAGCAGACACATAGATACACACCAAAAATGGAGTAGAGGTTACCAGGGGTTTGAATATCGAATTCTAAATTTCTATCTGATAACCACTTTCTTCCTGAAGGACTTCCTGTACCTTTTTTTTTTTTGTGTGTGTGTGTGTGTGTGTGTGTGGTGGTGGTGGTGCAAGTTGCTGCTGAGAGATTCTATCAGCTACCATACGTTTAAGGAAGTATTTTGCCTTCACTGCAAGTTGTTTTCACTGAGTGTAGAATTTTAATCTGGGAGTGATGTTTTGGTACTCTAAAAATGTTGCCGCACTGTTCTTGGGTTTGCTTGGTTTCTGAAGAGATTTTCTTTATTATAATTGTTCCTCTGTATGTAAAATATCTTTTTCTCGGGTTGCTTTAAATTTTTTCTCTTTATCAATACTGGCTTTAAGGGATTTATTTTTATGTGCCCTGGCATAGGTTTGTGTGTGTTGTGTGTCTTAGACTTGGGGTTTATTAAAATTCTTCAATTTATGGCTTTAGTTTTCATGAAACTTAGAAAAATTTTATTCATCATTTATTCAAATATTTTTGTTTTTTCCTTTCTCTTTCTCCTCTTTTGAGACATGTATACCAGGTCACCTGTAGTTGTCCCACACCAATACTCAGTTCATTTGTCCTGTCAGTTCATTTTTCCCTGAGCTTCATTTTGGATAGTTTCTATTGCAGTTTCTTCAAGTTCACTAACCTGTCTTCTTCAGTGTCTAATCTATCTACAGTGTGGTTTTCATCTCTAGAAGCTTGATTTAGGTCTCTTTTATGTATACAATGTCTGCTGGTGTGCTAATAAACTATCTCTCCAAAATTTAAAAATGCCCAATTGGCAGTGCTTGCCAATTCCATGAGTACACACTTCAGCCCATTCTAAGCTACCAATGATTAATAATTGTGTTTGCAAAATTCCTGATTATTTAACAATTGGCCCCTATAATCTGGAATGAGCAGGTTCTACACTATGCTCAATCTTTCCTTTATTTTTGAACTCTTGGAATATGTCTGTAATAACTATTTTTTTGAGAGAAAGATTCTTGCTATGTTTACCAAGTTGGCTTTGAACCCCTGGGCTCAAGTGATCCTCCTGCCTCGGCTTTCCAAGTAGCTGGGACAGGGGTGCAGCTGCAGGTCCAGCTTGGGATAACAGTTCTAAGGTTTGTCTGTACTAACTATCATCTGTGTTACTGCTGTGTTATTTTCCTGATTATTTTGCATGCTGGGTAATTCTTACTAGATTTCAGACTTGTACATTTCCCCTTCTTAGGTACCGTTTATTTATTTATTCCTATGAATATTCTTGAGCCTAAGAACATAGTTGAGTTACTTGGAAACCATGTGAACACTTGAGACCTGCTTTTAAGTTGTGAGCACCAGAGCAGCCTTTAGTCTAAAACTAATCCCCCCCACGACGGCGGCTTAACCTTCCATGGCCTCTCCCTGACGTCCCAGGAGAGGCTTACACTGTGTGGAAGGAAACCTGATGGGAGTTACTCCCTTTCCTCTCCCCAGTGCTGGGCACTCTGCTTACATGCAAGCACTGATGCTGACCCCGTCAAAGGTCCTTCAAGGCAGCTCTGGTCTCTGTGAACTCAGGCTGCCTTGGCCCCACTGGACTCCCGGCTCCAGCACTGCTCAACTTAGAGAAAGTACCGGGCTCCAACGAGGTTATCCTCCCCCCACTGACACCCGAAAACTCCTGCCAGATGATGAGCGGAGGCCAGAGCCACCAAGAGTCCATCGGTCTCTCTCCCTTTTCCTCCCCCACCCCCGAGGAGTCACTGTCCCGCGTCATCTGATGCCCAATAGCTAACAACTATTTTTTCATACATTTTGTCCAGTTTTTTAGTTGCTTCAGGCAGGAAGGTAAATTCTACCTGAGCCACAGGGGTATAAAAATAGAGGGCCCCCAGGTCCCTGGTGAGTTAGGGAACTGCAACTGGGGCCAGCCCTGGACTTCTTCTACTTGACAGCAGAAGCCCCAAACTCCAGAAGAACATGTGACCCAGGGTGGCACATTATGCAGCCTAATGCAGTGGCCGATGGATAGAGCAAGGATGGCACAGCTGTACACATTTTAAAAGCAGCTGTTTAATATACTCCATCGTATATATTTTTATCATTATATCTAATATTATATTTAATGAAATCCATCAAGACCGAAATCGATCACATTAGGTGACAATTTTTTTTTAAGTGAAAACAAGACCTGATTAATATTCTGATTTTCTTCCTTTGACGTTTTGAAAGGTAATTGAGTAAATAAATGTAGAGAAAAGTCATTTTATATCATTATTATTTCTAAGGATATTATGTCTAGTTTAAAAGAAAGGAAATCTCTGCTTTTCGATGTTTGATGTGGATGTAAAAACGCCAGAATATTCCAAAGCTCAGGGTCAATGTCAGGGGCGCTCAGGTGTGACTGTGGATTAATATTTAGCGGGCTGTGTCTCTCTTCCTGCTTCATTATCAGGCCGACAAAAAAGGCAAGCTCAGCCGCCCTCTACTCTCTCACCACCTGCTGCCAAGTCTGTGACGAGGGCACAAACCCCTGCTTCCTCAGGACTGCAGTCAGCACATGGATGTATCTAGGGAGAAGATCCTTTCATTCTTCTCCCAGATTCAGTGAGATGATGAGGGGCAAGTAGAAGTTTGGCAAATGAGGTTGTATGTTTGACCTGTAGTTGTTTTTAACATTAAAACTCGATAGTAACTACTCTTCAGTGTCTTTATTGTAGAACTAACGTATTGGTTCATTGCAAAATTTAGAAAAGGGAAAGAACAAAAATCATCTGAGTCCACAAGCCATACACAGCTATTTTAACTTCAAAATCTTTTTTAAGTGTACAAAGAGAAAAAAAGAGCACAGGATCAGACTCTTGGAGAAATAAAACTACCTTGTAGCAATTTAGAACATTACCGCCGGGAGTCTCTAACACCCTTCTCTGCTGTCCCAGGTACAATGAGTGTAAAAATGGGAATATCGCACGGGAAACCGGGAGGTTTCTGCTCCAGTCATAAGGGGATCTGTTTCCTCTAAATGCAACCAGTGCTTTGAAGTTAGTTAGGAAAACATTTGTGAGTCAAAACCAGTGACTATAGCCTCTACTTCATGTTTTTACTGCTATGTTAATAAACATGACAATAGGAGGATATTTCAGGGTGAGATCACCTTTCACCTCACTGAGTAACATGGGAAAAAACGCAAGACCCCAAACCCTCTTGGAAATAAGCACTTACTGAAAAAATACATTGAAGTGCCAATCTCAATCTTTACCTCCTCTCTTCAGCTGCCCAACCTCAGTTCTTTCAAAAGGGTACCATTTTTTTGTTGTCGTTGGATTTTTTAATTTTTATTAGTTTACATGGACCCAATATCTTTATTTTATTTATTTTATGTGGTGCTGAGGATGGAACCCAGGGCCTCACATAGGCAAGGCAAGCTCTGTGCCACTGAGCCACCACCCAGCCCACCAGGGAACCAGTTCTAATGAGAGGTAGCAAGGCCTTGGAAAGGGGTCTGTATTTTCTCTCTTTATTGGTAAACAAGCTCGCCAATGTGGAATCTTTACCTTGTGGCTTAGAATTCAGTGGCGGAAAACAATAAGGCCAATTTTTGTCACGTTCTAGGAGGGTCACCTTTCCCTCAATTTTATACCGACACTATTTACCTCAGCTCCTCAGTGACGGGCTTCTCTGCTCTTCCTCCTTCAAGTCCAACAGTGCCCTGCCCTCAAGGAGGAGAGCACCAATTCCTGCTCTGCTCAGGGCAACACTTACGCAAGGAAAACATAATCAAAAGAAAATAAAGTACCCTCTTATCTTCAAGGTGAGAAAAAGAAGTAAATGTGACCTACCAAGAGTTTTCAGTGAGCTCACAGAATGAAGGGGATCCGTAATGCTCAGAGTGATGCTCAAGAGTAAGCAAGATTGAAAATCCCATGACTCCAAATTGAATTTCAGAACCACATATCCAATTATGATGAACGATATAGCAAAGCTAAGAAATCCAGTTAAAAAAACCTGTGAACCAATTCATAATAAGGTATTAGATTAAATATCCAAAGATGGCATGACTGCATTTATTTATGTTCTAAGAATCAAATCTTGGTTTTATACATATATTTTTTTCATTTTGTTATTTTTAATTGACACATAATAACCATACATATTTATGGGATACAAAGTATACATTGTGTAATGATTAGATCAGGGTAATCAGCATATCCACCACCTCAAGTCATCATTGCTTTGTGTTAGGAACACATAAATTCCTCTGTACTCTTCTTTTTTGTAATATATAATACATTCTTGTTAATTAGAGGCATCCTACTGTGCTAGAACTTAATTCTCCTGTCTAACTGTATCTTTGTACCCAGTAACCAACCCTTTTCTCCCCTCTCTACTCTGCAACAGGGACAGGAGACACCCTGAAATGCTTGAGATACAAAAATTTATGCAATTTTCTATTTCTGTAAACACAAGAAACTTATTTTCCAAAATTATCCCTCAGGGGGGAAAAAAGATGTTATTCAGTCCTTTCATTTTCCACTTTGTCTTTTGTTTTATTTTCTGTGAGTCTTGGCAGCTCTCCCTTTGATTACTTTCACTGAATTAGTTGAGTTCAGCCATCATATTTTCAACTTTCAAGATCTCTTTGTTCTTTCTGTGGTATTACTGCCTTATTCCTTATTGTTTCTCCAAGGCTATTAGTTATACATATTTGGAAGCTTTCTGTCCCTTATTTTTATCACAAAGAATGCTAACTTGGGGCTGGCTCAGTGGTAGAGTGCTCGCCTAGCATGCATAAGCCACTGGGTTTGATCCTTAACACCACATGAAAATGAAATAAAGATATTGTGTTTCACATTAAATCTACTCTGTCTGTGCTCTAAAATGAACCAACCAAGCCTGGACAACAGCACATCTATTTACATGATTTACCTAATATTTTAAGCCCACTATGGAGACCTATTGCTTGGGGGAAAAAAAAAAAAGATTACTTTCAAAATACTATTGCTCGTTGGCAACGCACCTGGTCACCGGGTGCTCTAATGGAGAGTGCAGAGACTAATGCTGTTTTCATGCCTCCTGTCACAACACCTATTCTGTAGCCTAAGGGTCCAGGAGCAATTTCCACTCTCAAGTCTGGTTATCTAAGGAATACAGCTCATCAGGCTACAGCTGCCATTGCCACTGAGTCCTCAGACGGCTCGGGGTCAAGGAAAAGGAAGAGCTTCTGGAAAGGACTCCTCCTTCTAGATGCCATTAAGAATGTTTGTGACCTGTGGGAGAAGGTCAAAATGTCAACCACCAGGAATTTGGAAGAAGTTGATTCCAGCCCTCATGGATGACTTTGAGGGGCTCAAGACTACAGAAGCAATAGAAAGAGCTAGAAAGCTGGAAACAGAAGTGGAGCTGAAGATGTGACTGAATCGCTGCAATCTCGGATGGAAAAGACCTGCCACTCACAGAAAAGCCAAGAAAGCACGTTCTTCAGATGGAATCCCCTCCTAGTAAAGATGGCGTGCCCCGGGTTGGCGTGGCAAAGATGGAGCAAACTGTTACACGAGCTTAGTTGGGGAAGCCGTGGCTGGGTTTGAGAGACCGACTGCAGAAGCAGCTCTGTGGTGGCAAAACAGCTACCAAACACCTTGGCCCCACACAGAGAAATTTTTTGTGAAAGGAGGACGCAGGAGACTCCTTTGTCACATTAAGGACCCAGTCTTCGGCCATCACCACCCTGATCAGTCTGGACATCTTGAGTTAATATCAGTTGATTGACTTTTAGCTTTTGGGGGGATTCTGTGTCTTAAGCCTTAAATTTTTTTTTTGATAGGTAACAGGAGTAGTGGGGACACAAAGTTAAGGGAATCATTCTATAAAGTGGGCCCACTGTGCTGATCCCCCCACATATCCTTTCTTTTAAAAACAAATAAACAACAATTTACTTGCACCCTGCCTGGCTAAAGTCCATTGGATATGTTACATTCCTCAGCAAACGACCTGTTATGTAGGCCTGAAATGCTGTTAAAGAGAACACAAGTTACCCTGAAAGTTTACACACACCAGATCCCAGAACTCGGGGAGATAAGAATGTTGTCCCCAGTCATAAAATCTGCAAGAATAGGTTCAATATAGGATGGGTCGGCATGGGCCACAGTGACCTAGAGTTGTCATGCAGAGTGGGGACTGAGTTGTCCAGCTGTCAGTCAAAATCCGAGAGGTGAACCTGAGCAGGACTCTCAAAACTCCCCTGGAACCGCCAA